ATTGGACTAATACAAATTCGTCTGGTGTTTATATCACCATAAACGTCATTGCCTCATCACCAAAACATTAGGCGTAGTAATTTTAACCAATGACGTTATTATTCATTGACATCATTGTTTTAAATACACAGTCTCCAATGTAAACAATCATGTCGGTTGTCCCAAACATTGAAACATAAAGAAATAGGCCCTACTTAAATTCATACTAAAGTCTTTGTATCAAAATTAAAATGTCTTGAAAACGTAAATATAAACAATAAACTGTTAGCCTATGGCGGTTATGGTCGTATATCAGGTCAAAGGTTGCCTGGAAAATTGACCAATCAGATGATAAGAGCACTAGAATAATAAGAACTTACATGAAATCAAAATTTAAGAAATACTGTAATCTGATAATAAAACTAAATTTAAAATTGATTTTAGTGATTGACCAATCAGATGACTGCAATTACGTCACTAAATGCAAAGGGACTTATGTGATAAAGTATATTTTGCAATTAGTGACATCATCAAACACTTAGTTTTAGTGGATTTACAGGAACCACAGACATCTGATTGAAAATTGGAATGATGTAAATTGATGCTATCAGTGTCCCTGATATACATAAAAAATTTAGAAAACCTTTTTACAATCCCTTTAACAAGAACCACAGATGTCTGATTGAAAATGTGAATGATGTAAATTGATTCTATCAGTGTCCCCAATACACATACAAAATTTAGAAAACCTCTTAACAATCTCTTTAAGGCAACCTTTTCAATAAACTTTGCCACTTAAATGATCAAGGTTGGCCACGATTAACTTTGACGTTAGGGATCCTTCTTAGAGGCAAGGCTTATGTTTTTTTTCTTTTATGATACAATTAGCTATTGCACATGGTAGCTTTAAATTGTCAACAAAAATTCTGTCATTAATCAAGAAATATAAAGCTTAAAACATCATAAATAAAAATTGGATCTTAACTGTTTAAACTGTAATTAAAGACATGGAAAAAGCGTCTAGTCATTCGGATGGGACAATAAACAGAGGCCCTGTGTGCTACAGGCTGTGTACGTTAAAGATCCCTCGACAGTTGGAAATCGAAAAAAGAGCAGGCTAATGCCACTGTCCGGGCAAAATTTCCCTCATTGCACCCTGTATGGCGTTGCCCGTCTTCATTAGCCCACATGGTGTAGAAAAGTAGGACGTAAAACTCCATTCATTTCATTTCATTTTCAACTGTAATTAAAGCCCTCGTATGTCAAATTTCCTTGACAGGGTGATTAACTCTCATCAACGTAAAAACTCCGCTCTGCGTACTTGTCAAATCAAAACAATAAATGTATTAAATATTTGACTAAAAATGGTAACTAGGTTAAAAATTATGCAACCACACCCCTTTAAAGATGGGTTTTCCTTATTTTTTTTAGTGTCAAATTAAGCAAACTATTTGATTAATTGGTGTTTTTAATGAATTATCATGTATTATTAATCATATCATTATGTTCTTATTGCATATAATTAAGAGTTTTAACCAATCATAAATGTCCATGTATGTACAGTCTGGATAAACAAAACAAGACTTTTTGACCTTTCTTGATCGGTCATTCATTGGAATTCTGCTGGTAGTTCTCTTCTAATTTAGCTAATTATGAATTAATTACGGACATGTGAGACAAACTGGTATTTTTCCAAGTCATTAGAACACCTCTACTTTCTGTTCATATAAGTATTAGCATTTTCATTTTCATAAATGAAAAGAAGGGAACCCATCTTTAATAGAATCATATAGTAAAAAATGTCCCCTCAGAGTAGCCTACTCAAGTCAAGACTATGCCTAAAGCTACTACAGTACAGGTCAAGATAAAACAAGTTCACCTACCTCTAGATCAAACATATTTTCTTTTTGATGAATTAGTTGTCCATAAATCTGTCACTCATTAAAGAGGATGTTCCACATAATATTTCCAAAAAGTCAATACAATTATAGCATAGCACAAAAAATCACTGTATAAGGAAACACAGCAAAAAAGAGTATACCATTTAAGGGGATATTCTTAGAAAAATTCCTAGGGTTATTTCTAAGAATTTAAGGTCTTTATAAAACACAGCACTTAGAAAATCTATCAATAAGTTATATCTTAGAATTAAGCTCTTATAAAACACAGCACTTAGAAAATCTTTCAATAAGTTATTTCTTAGAATTAAGCTCTTATAAAAACACAGCACTTAGAAAATCTATCAATAAGTTATATCTTAGAATTAAGCTCTTATAAAACACAGCCCTTAGAAAATCTTTCAATGAATTATTTCTTAGAATTAAGTTCTTATAAAACACAGCACTTAGAAAATCTTTCAATAAGTTATTTCTTAGAATTTAAGCTCTTTATAAAACACAGCACTTAGAAAATCTTTCAATAAGTTATTTCTTAGAATTAAGCTCTTTATAAAACACAGCACTTAGAAAATCTTTCAATAAGTTATTTCTTAGAATTAAGCTCTTATAAAACACAGCACTTAGAAAATCTTTCAATAAGTTATTTCTTAGAATTAAGCTCTTATAAAACACAGCACTTAGAAAATCTTTCAATAAGTTATTTCTTA